GAGTTGAAAGCCCGCTAAATCCTTAGCCGGCTTGTTTGGCAGGACAGGGGTGAGTGGAGAGACAGATATACCTTTGGGGACAGAGAAAATGTGCTCACTTGCCCCCACTGTCCCGTTATTTCCTAGTAGGCGCATGGATCATCTTCTTTGGATGGGGACAATCAGAAGGCAATCGCCTGGCCCAGGTCACGACTGGTCTTCCAAGCATCGGCTCCAAGAGTGCCTGGATGTTAGCCGTTGAGCGGTGGCAACCGTTGGGGCAGAGCTACCGCTCGCGCTGATACTGAAGGCGCTTAAAAGCATATTTCTCCAGGCTGCGAGAGGCCGCATGGTGGCTGGATAAATGGGATATTACAAAGTATACGACCTCATGGAGAATGCAAGCTCTGAGGATCAATCCGGAGTTACCAAACTCAAGAAAAAATGATCTGCAAACCCGGGAATAGGCCGAGCAGGCAAGAAAGGTAGTATCTGCGAGCTCAATGGCGTAGGAACCATTGCATAATCCTACGTAAAGTTTTAAGTGTGGAGTGAACGGGAGCATACGTCAAAAGTATTGTGTGCTTCTCGATGGAACAGCACCGGGGAGAGTCAAGGGGTATGAGTAGATCTTGCCTCTTTCTTGCAAAGGTTTATCACTACCTGCCAAGAGCTCGCCGTCCGGGGGCGGAGGAAGGGAGGGGCCAGCAATCGGTGTTTCTGGCTGTCATATTTTTTTTCTTCGTCGATCGGAAAGACAGGAAACGAAATTTCGAGATAGCTCCATCGAACTCCGGGACTAGACGACGATGCCTGCCTGCCAGGTCCACGAACAAGCCAAAAAGTGGGCGCGAGGATCTACGCTACGATACGAAGTACTACTTTTCGTGTGCTAGGCTACGTAGACTACGACGTAGGCTTGTCCAGGGTCCATCCCCGGAGTGGCTTCGGCGAGCGGATCAATAGACCAGGGGGGTTGCTTCCGGAGAACGGGAAGACGAAAGTAAAGCGGAAGGTAAGAATCCCGAGCGAGATATGCGAATTGTGCATCTTGACATCTAGACCCAGACCATGGAAGGAGGTCTAAGATAGCAAACTTTTTTTCTTTCCCTTTCTCTCTACTTTCTCTCTATTTCCCCTACCCCTTTCAATGTTGCATCGGCCGTGGGACTGGTTCCTAGGAAAAAGAAGGCTTGTGGAGGTCTTTGGAATCTCGTGTTGTTTAAATGACCGCTTGTGGCTTTGTCACGTACTCCGTATTGGTTGTCCCGTCTTCATTTCCCATCTCTGGCGTTTGGTTGGACCGTCAAAGGATAATTAGCGGCACCGGAAACTTGGAGTGGACAAGGATGGACGCTGGCCGATGATAGGGCTAGCTGAGCCTGGCTCCCGTTGTTCCAATTGTCTTTGGGATGGCCCCGGTCCAGAGTGTTGACGTTTGCAAGAGAGTCCACTCTGAAGTACCGATGAAGATGGCATTTGGCATCGAGCACGGAGGTAATTTTAGGGATTCTTGTGCTCTGTTCGTATTTCTGCTGATTTCTAAGTTTCACGATGAGAGGAGAGTCGGTCCGTCTGACGAGGTTTATGTCCGTCCAAAGCTCAATGCTTGCCAGTGCGGTTGATAGTGCGTATCGCCTTGTGAAGGTTAAAGCCTCGAGTCGAGCCTTTGCGTGAAGCATCAAATCGCGTTTGATGGACTGCTTATCTACGAAGTACACGTCGCTATATTAGCAATCTTTCATGGTAGGTGAGAGTCACTACTGTAGGTACAGAGAGGAACTTACAGCAAGCAGCCGCGGCAACGTCTCGACCAGGTACAGTACATGAAAAAGCCGGGGCACGTGGGTAGTCCACACCAAATTCGTGCAGAACTCCGCGAAGGATCAAGAAGCAGGACTCCTCCGCAGATTAGGACTTCGCACTAGGACTATACTACGAAGTACTGCACCCAACACTGCGAAGTACCGCCAAGCAAGATGTGGTCCTCATCCAAACATCGGACTCTCATGGGGATGAGGATCTTGCCCAGAGACTCGGATATAAGTGCCCTCACGGACATTGCTGGAGTGCAGCTAAACCCAATTGTCAGGCTCTAGCAAGGTATTTTTGATCATCTCCCGAACGCCGAGCCGGGGAACAAGGGCATCAAGGTCAAAGAACCGAGATAACCAAAACGAAAACCCAAGAACGACTAACAACCGGTTCCAATGTTGTGTGATTGCCGTGATTGCATTCACAAGGGCAACGCTGAGTCTAGAATCCATGATCCCTTCAAGACGTGCGCGCTATTGTCTCTGCTAAATTCCTCATCACCACGGGGTACTACCTATAAGGATTCATAGCTATTGTCGCAATGCCGGATTACTTTGGCGAGATTTATTGGAAATCGTGGAATTATGCCGCTCCCTCCCTTCGTCAAGGACGCCGTTCCTGGCTGTCGGCCTGCGCGCCATGGGCCAGCCTTCCGATTATGTGCTTGTGTGTCACACCCATCTTCGTTCCTCCCTACGACGCCCCCTTTCCGCCAACACTAGAGGTCCTATTATATATCCCGTCCGTGTTATAGATAGCAAAGAGATATGCCGTGCCACAAGGGCGATCCAAGGCTCCGTGTGAGAGGGGGCGGGATCCGTGGGTGCTACGCCAAAGGCATTACGATGCACTTCGTAATTAAAACTGCTGGGTTCTTGGCTGTTTACATCAATATTTGTAACTTCTTTTCTTTTTCCCATCGCCCAGACACTCGGAACACGGGGGGCGGAAGAGGATCGGACTCTCGCGGCAGGTTTCCGATCGTAATATTAGACAAGATTCAACATATTTCATGGATATCGAGAGACCGAGGGTCGTATTGTCGTTCCTCTTTCCTTTCTGTGCAAAGTCGTACCGGGTTTTCCCATTATTTACTCACGAGGACGGGTATCAAGAGGGTTCCATTAGCAGAGAGAGCTGATGGGGTGGATTTTTCTTGCCATACCCACGTTTTTAGCCTTCAAGGTCCTCCCGGCAATTGTAGTGTAGTGTAGTGGTAATATCCCTGAAGGCAAGGTAAAAAAGCAACCTTGAAGAGATTCCGAAAATTTTCTTGCTGTTGTTGGACAGTTCCAAGCTAATAGTGTCCACTTCTCACTCTTGTCTGAGATTCCCGTTTCCACTCTTTGGTTGATGAGAAGGGAAGGGGCAGAGGACAGGGGTAGCGAAGAATTGGCAAGCAACCAACGGATTTACGGAGCTACGGTAATACTGAGGACATGGGGCATGGGCCATGGGGCACAGGGCAGGGGCCATGATGGGTCATGGTGGTGGCTCTGGTGGGTGAATTCCGTGGTGGGCCTTGGAGATAGATACGTACTCAGCACGCAGTGATATCATTTAAAAGTGTGGAATGCTATGCACAGAACTTGCTCGGGAAGACTTGGTATCTCCACTAAATGTGTAATCAGAAATCTGCATATCTAGAATATCTAGGTAGGAGTAGTGCAGTTGATCTGGCTTTAGAAATGATGTAGGATCAAGAGATGGTGAGCATGCCTAATCATTACGAAGTAACGATAGATCCTTTGATCCTTGGACTCTGCTAAGGTGTTGAAAGTGCGATTTAGACTGAGCATAAGCGTCAAGTCTGATGTCGAGTCAATCCGAGTCCTACTCTGCGCCTGCTCCATGATGAGTGGGACAAGCAGTCCCCAACTCCCGCACGAAGTGCTTTATTCGACAGTGTACGGGACACTGGAGGCTTGTACCCGAGAGCCCGAGAGTTAGAAGATTCAAATGCTGGTACACTGCGCTAATATTGGCGCATGCTTTTTCCCTCTCGTCCCAGTCTCCATCAATGTTCCTTCAATAGTGCACGTACTTCGTACCTTCGTAGTGTACGAAGTACTGCTCAGTGTATCAGGGGGCGTGTACAGTACATCCCCTGTGTTCATCTCTTCGTGTTGTCTAGTCTGAAGTATCCTGTACTGTCCGCTGTACCCTACCTCAGTCCCGCAGACAACAGAGAGAAAGGGCTACCTGTTAATCCACCCCTCCCCTGTATTTTTCCTCACACGCCCCTCCTCTATCGCACTGCACTCTCAATCCCACATCCACACACCCCCGTCCACCAAAAATCAGTGGATAGACACCTTCTCCCATGTCCCTTGTCTCAGCATCGCACCCCCTCCCAGACGCCCCAGCGACAATCCCTGTCTGTCACCAAACTCTGGCTCTGTGTACTGCCTTCGCCCTACTGCCAGGCTACGAGCACGACCTAACTGAATTAGAGGCCCTAAAATAAGGTGCGAGTCTGGGACATCAGAGCCTGCAGGAGCTCCGCCTCTTCACGAGATGTACAGGTTTTGCTTGCAGAAACGGGGTTTTTGGTTTTTGGGAGTCTGTTCCCGAAGGTATATATGAATCTCCAAGGCCCCCAATGTTATACCCGTGCATCTTCTGGGAGAAGATCATCACTCCTCGTTCAAGCCATTCGTTCCCATCTTGCTATCTTATATACATCGCCATCGTCCCCTCTCGTCCCTCTCTGACCTTCTTCCCCTTTCGTTCATTGAATCTTCACCATAGAATCCACGCTCACCATTACTGGGACTTGGATCTTAATACGCCTGCTCTGGTTTTGGATCCCGCTTACACACAAACACTAGAAGTTCCCGTCACTGCTGGTATGGTCAACTAGAAGGTGAGATCTTTCTTTCATGCCCAACACAATGGTTCAGCTACGCGCGGGCCGACTCTGCCTAGCCCGACTCTCGAGCCAATCTGGCACTGACTGGCTATGGTTGCTTGTATTGGAAAAAAAAAGAGGGAATCAAAATGAGAATCCACTAACACGACGCCATTCGGAAAAAGCAGTCTTTGGCTCAAGACCCCGGTTTAGGCCGTCACTTCGCTTTTCATACAAAACCCCCGAGACCCCAATTCCTCCTCCAAACTACCATTGACCTTCTCCCATTCCTCACGTCTTGTTCTTGAGGACCTCTACTCTCCCCACCACACCAACGACGCCCGCATTCACCGCAATGATCTCGATAGAACAGTCCTTCAACATGTTCAATAGGCATATGGGCGGTGGCAACGATGATAACGATTACACACGATATCCCGACCCTCCCCAAGCCCTCTTTTCTTCCGGCGCACCGGTGGACATGGGCTTGACACCGGATGCGTATGCACCCTTCACCGCCACCACGGCGCAAGAGATGTTCCCCACGACGATGGCATACGACCCCTCCTCCCTCTACGCCGAGACCCCCAGCTACCTCTACAACGGCCGCTCTTCCCCCGGCCACTTCGACGACGGTGATATGAGGGCCGGCTCGTCGAACCTATCAACCACGTCTGCGCCATCCGCCGCATCCTCCGCCGTCGGCTCCCCGCAGTCGAACCACGGGCAACTCGCACCCATCCCCGAGTGGGCGCCGCAGACTCTCAGCGTGTCGCCGAACATAGTTGGACACAACGATTACTTCCCCGGGGGCTCCGAGTACTCTACATTTCCCACAGGTATGGAGGAATATACTTCTCCCTTCGACTTTAGCAACGGCACCAAACCTCCCGGGTTTGTTGGTGAGTTGCCTTATTTTTTTCTCCCTCGACTCTGTTGTTTTGTTGTGTTGGGCACTTTTCTCCCCTGTACTAGCTTCTTGAGAATAAGTGTGCTGCAATTCTCTCGTTTCCTCCAGTTAAATCGCTGCCGGTAGTGGCGGAAAGCATTTCTCTTCCCCTCGCTTGTAAACAAGCAAGTGCTTGGACAGAAGGGGAATAGTTTGGGGATAGGCGCCCTCTTGTCTCCACTCCGATTTTGCTCGCCGAAAGTGGTGATTGATGGAGAGCGAACCCAGTTTCGGTCTTCCCCTTTCTCCGCTCTCGATATCTTGCGCTTTTCGCACTACTCTTTTCCCCTTGGCCATTTATATCTTTTTTTCCCCTATATTTTCTCTTATTGACTAAATCTACAATCCTCTTGTCTCGGATCTCTTACTAACTGAGCTTCCTTACGCCTTGCAGATCCCTCCCTTATCCACCCGGATATTAGCCGACCGATTCAAATGACCTTTGAAGGCCCCTTCCAGACTCCCACCACGGCCTACCCTACTTCCCCCGCGCTCTCCCACGGTGCTTCTTCTCCGCAGCCCATGCTCAGGAACGGAAGCCAGTCCCCATTCCTACACGGAGGATTCCAACAGCCCTTCAGCCCCTACCAGACCCCCATGGACACGACCAACTCGCGAAGGCCCAGCCATCCCTTCGTTTCTCCCAACTACTCCGAAACCACCCCCTTCAGCAGCGATGAGTCCAAGGAGAAGTCGAGGTGCCCGCACCCCGACTGCGGCAAGGCCTTCAAGGACCTGAAGGCCCACATGCTCACGCATCAGAACGAGAGGCCAGAAAAGTGCCCCATCCAGACTTGCGACTACCACATCAAGGGCTTCTCAAGGAAGTACGATCGCAACAGGCACACCCTCACCCACTACAAGGGCACGATGGTCTGCGGTTTCTGCCCTGGTTCTGGTTCTGCGGCGGAGAAGTCATTTAATCGCGCCGATGTCTTCAAAAGACATTTGACCGCCGTGCACGGTGTCGAGCAGACTCCTCCCAACAGTCGCAAGAAGGCGCCCTCGACCGTCTCTGCGGGCCCCAAGAGGTTGTCTGGCTACCCGCCTGACGCTACCGGGAAATGTAGCACTTGCTCGCAGACCTTCGGCAATGCCCAGGACTTCTACGAGCATCTCGACGACTGCGTGCTCCGCATTGTGCAGCAGGAGGATCCTGCTGAGGCTGTCAACGCCAAGAGGCTCGCCGAGGTGGAAAACGACCGCGAGGTCATGCAGACTCTCGAGAAGAACAACCTACCGCTCTCTATGTCTCCTGCCGCCGGTGTTGAGGATGGCGAGGAAGACGAGGATGATGAGATGCATCACGACGACGATGAGGAGGACGAGGATGGCTCCGCCAGGAGGAACGGCACCTCGAGGCGTAGGTCGGGCGGCAACCCCGCCAACGGCGTGCAAAAGTCGCGAGGAATGACCCATTCTCGAGGTGGCGTCCTCCTCAACACTCGCCGAGGTCGCAAGAACCGCCGCGACTACCCCTCGTCCTGGGGCTTTGATAAGGGCCAGATGACGATGAAGAAGCGCGTCATGGCTGTCTTCGAAGGCCCCCGCCGTCTCGCCAAGGACGACATGATGCTGTCGACCGAGCACGAGGTTCGTGTCAGGTTGTCGGATGGGGACTCTTACGTTACCGACCTCGATGTGCAGACGCTCAAGAGGGCCGAGGGTTTCCTCCACGCCACTGACGAGGAGAAGGGACCTTGGATTTCGGACGACCCTACCGAGGCCGAGCTCAAGCAGATGAGGGAGATGCTTGAGATTAACAGGACAGCGCCCACCACCGCTCCTGCGTAAGGGAGGCATTGGATATAAATACGGGCTCTTTTCTACTTTTATTTTTTGGATTATCCTATTTGGCGTCTTTGGAGCTTTAGAGGGCAAAGCATGCGTCGGGCGCAAATTACGAGGATGGGGTCAAACTCGACACTCCACCCTTGACACAAAAGGCAAAAAGAGGAGATGGAGAGAAGGAAGAGAGGTTATGTCTTTGTTTTTGCTTGTTTTTTTTCTGTTCAAACGGGCACAACATTTTGTCTGTTTGCCAAAACGCCGCAAGATGGCGTTTATCGATACCCCCTATTTCTTGATCTCACTTGAAATATTTCTTGTCTCTTTTTTTCCGTCTCGAAGCTCCTACAGATACATATTCTCTTGTTTTTTCGACGACCGCTTTTCTTTTACTCCCTTCCCTATTTCCTATTTTAATTTTGGGGTCTTCCTCCCCCTTCCACATTTGGAGGAGGAGGGGACGGGGAAGACTTTCCACCTGTCCATAGCTATTGGAATTGGGGGCAGCGGGGGCTTTTCGTTTTTGAGGGGGAGTTTTTCTTAATGATGTTAATGAACCTGAACCTGTTTGGAATGATATGAAATAGTATACAGAATCTGAAAGATTTGGCTCTCTTGTACATGTATGGCATTTTTTTCTGTCTCCTTTTTTTTCTTCCCGGGGGCAAGTGGTAGTGGAGTGACATTCAATCGGGTTGATAGAGTGAGTCCCTGCAATAACAACGGGGATGAGGATGCAGCGGTGTAGGGCACGATGGATTGAAGCTGTGAATAGACAATTGATTGATGAACTATACGAGTCGATCCCTGCAACAGGCCTTCTTGGCCTTATTACTGGTTGTTAAGGCAGTAAACGAACGGCCTATCCTAAGTGGCGGGACAGGTTGGTGGTGTAAGTGTGACATTGGAGAGAGAGAGAGAGAGAGAGAGAGAGAGAGAGAGAGAGAGAGCCGACGTGGCACGTCACAGAGAGGGTTGGATTGTCATTAATGGGGAGGAATTATTAGGCGCAGCTCACTCCCCCCTCCCACCTCTGGGACTAGACATCGAAGGCATCTGAGGCCGGTAATAGGTCAAATCTTACTCTTACAATGGATAAGCGATGATGCAGGGCGAAGTCTACTGCTCCTCTCCTTCCCTTGTTGAGGAAGAATGGTCAGCATCCCACCAGTGTATTTGGAAATGATCTCCATCACACTGGAAATAGGATTCCTGGTGGTCTTCGGAGTCGTTGGTGTTGCTCTTGGGCGATTGCACCGTCTCGGGTCATCTTAAGAAGGGACGGCACACCAACCATCCCTCCTCTACGACCATGCTGGTGGGCGACGTTCCTGTGTGGAAAGAGATCAGGTTGTACGAAGTATTTTATAGGCCTTGACGTTAAATAGAGAGTGAGAAGGAGGGGCGTCTTTTCCCGCGGGACGAGGCGAGGTAGGGGGCTGGGGAGATCTATGGAGTGTGTTTGGAATTCGAAGTGAGATGGAGGGTTGTGTTTCTATTTTGGCCCCCCGCTTCTGTTCGGGAGGGGGGCGGTTCCATTGTCTTTGGAAGGGGACGGACGGAGTTGGGGATGGTGGGGTGGTAATCTCGGGGGCGGAGAGGTTCCGGGGACGGGACCAAGTTCTGAATACATTGATCATCGACTGTTGAAGCAAGGAGTGGGAGGGAGGGAAAAAAAAAAACCCCCGTGATAGTCTCTGAAGCAGTAATCAAGCTAGGACTGGATTCCAACACTTTGGGTGTTGGAGTCTGTAGAGTGGCTTCTGGATCTCGCTGGGACAGGATATGGGACAATTCACCAGGAATTTGGCGATGATTTGGGAGGCGTGGATTATTCTCTTCCCTCTTCAAGGGACCCATTTCCAGCCTGGTTTGTCCATGGATCGGAGCGGGAGTATCAAGGTAGGCCCATATGCTCTCTTACTGGTATCACCGCGAGCATATTCCTTGTTGGGCCAAGGGGGAAAAAAAAAAAAAAAAAAAGTAAATGTCCGATCCAGTTTCGAACCGACAGCATCTCCAAGTTTCCTCCCTCCCCTCAACATCCCCAGTCTCGAAATCTCACAACCTCTGCAGGGCAAGCAAAACGGGGATATCTCACAGAAAAGAAGCAAAAGAAAATCCCCAAACATAATAAAAAAATTCTATCAAAAAGGAATTCCCACTTCTTCTCTCTCCCCAATTCCCCAATTCCCGTTTCCCGTTTCCCAAATTTCCTCCACGTCTCATAGATTGACCAGAACGGGTTCCACACCGGCGCCTCGCGGAAGTAGTCTATAAGCAGTACTACTTGAGCTTCCATGAGGCGTTGAATTCAGACCGAGATTCTCATATACAACTCATACACACACACACACACACACAAACCGCCTGTCTCAAGACCGAGAAGGCGCCTTCCCCGATGAGTACCGGGTAGAACGCATTCAATTAAGCTCCGTAGGTCTCCTAGGCGACATCTAGATTTCTTATAATGAAATTTGAATATTGTGAGTTTGGTTGAGAGCCCTTATTCTTCCTTCCCAGAATGATATTTCTATAAATGTGCCTCTCAGTACGTACCCCGTACTTCATTATCTCGAGCTTCTTGATAATAAGGATGACTAAAACTACCCCGCCACAGGCATTCAATAATTTTCATATTCAAAGTGTGCAGACTCATGAAGAATCGAGCCGATGAAGAATGCAGGGACGATTCGAATTGGACGTCATTGATCACATCTCCATTATCATCATTCTCATCACACACATCTGCCAGGATTGCAAATTCCCCCTCCATCAATTGATCCCCACCACCTCCCCCAGCTCCAACACACGAGCAAACAAACAAACAAAACACCCTCACTTACACTCCCCTCCTCTCTCCCTCCCAACCATGACATCCACAAACCTCACCAACCGCCTCACCCCCGAAACCCCCGACTCCACCCCCGAAGACTTCCTCTCCTCCTCCCTCGCCGTAATCTTCCCCGACGCCGTCGCCAACCAGCACGGCGACGCCCACACCGCCCTCCTCTACACCTCCCCGCTCCTCCCCAAGCCCCTTCGCATCCAACTCGCCGACCCCCCGGCCGAGGACGAGCGCCAGCTCTTCGGCCACTATCTCTGGAACGCGAGTCTTCTTGCCGCCGAGTTCATCGAGGCCGGGACAGTGGGTGTTTCTTCTTCTTCGACGGAGCAGCGGGGCAGCGCCCTCACGCGGGCTCTGGAGGATGGGATTTTCAACGTCAAGGATAAGCGTGTCGTTGAACTCGGCGCGGGGACGGCTTTGCCTTCCATGATGGCCGCGTTGTTGGGTGCGAAGTCCGTTACTGTGACGGATTATCCGTCGGATGCGTTGCTGGCGACGTTGAGGGGGAATGTGGAGCGGAATGTGAGTAGGGAAAACGGGCCGAAGGGAGGTGAGGCGGGGTTCTGCGAGGATGTGGTCGTGAGTGGACATGCGTGGGGGGAGACGGCGGATGAGTTTGCGGTGGGGAGGAAGCATGCTTTTGATGTTGTTATAGCGGCGGATTGTCTCGTAGGTTTCTTCTTTCCATTCATCCCCTCTTCTCATCTCTCCGTGTCTATTCCCCCCCCCCCCCCCCCCCCCCTTGAATCTTCTCGTAAAACACCCGTCGTGATGAAAACACATACTAACCCAAAAGCCCCAAGTGGATGCCCTGGCAACACGCAAACCTCCAAACCTCCATCTCCCACTTCCTCAAACCCGCCTCCCTCAACCCCGACGCCCGCGCCTGGGTGATAGCGGGCTTCCACACGGGCCGCGCAAAGATGCGCGGCTTCTTCGACGACGCCGCCCTCGCTGAGAAGGGGCTTGAGGTCGAGCGCTTGTGGGAGGTGGATTGTCTCGGCGTCGAGAGGGAGTGGGTTTGGGAGAGGGAGGGGGAGGATGCTGGGAATAGGAGGCGGTGGTTGGCTGTGGGGATTTTGAAGAGTGTTGCGGGGAGTTGAAAGGGGGAAGAGCAGGAGGGTTACGGGTTTGAGCTGGGGAGAGAGCATGGATAGTAATAGAGGTAGAAAAAAAAATAAGGTGTGGTGTGTATGAGCGTGGGGCTTATTTTTTATGATAATGACATATAGACGTTGGATGGGAGGTATGGCTACATATAAACTTCTCCTGCTTGATATACATGATACCCTCCTCCCCCCCTTCTACCTCGTCGGCCTTCTCTTTCTTCTCCAGAGGGCCCGAGAAGAGTGTACAACCCTCACTTTCTACAAATATACAAACACACAAATACTCCATACGCCAAAACGAACCACGTCGCCTTTCCCCCCTCTTTCATCCTCCCTCCTCCTCTTCTCCCCCCTCGACCGTCGCCCCCATCTCGCCAACCTTTTGAAAATACTCCCCCCCAACCCTCAGATTCTCAACCGCACTCAACCCCCTCACAACCCCCGTCAAATTCCTCTCCCTCGCCAACCTCTTCAGCGCACCCTCCAAAAACTCCGCGAGAAGCCTCACGCTCCACCCGTCCGGGACCACCTCGAGCACGTCAACGACGTCGAACCAGGGGCCGAACCGCGAGAGGAGGGAAGAGGTCTGCTCGACGCGGTCGCTTAGGTGGTCGATTTGGAGGAATTCGAGGAGGAGGGCTTTGAAGAGGCGGCGTTGCTCTTGGAGTGGGAGGGGGGATTTTTGAGGTGGTTCTTGTTGCTGGTTGGAGATGTCGTTTGTTCGGGTTTGACGTTGCTGCTGCTCACCAAAGAGACTCGATCCGCCCCAAAGACAATATCGAATGGCGGCATCATAGTCCCCGAGCTTATGCACCAGCAACCTCAGCGCATTCTCATGCTTCCCCTCCCGCCCATCCAGGATAATAATCTCCGGAACCAACAACTCGTCCGGCACGGCAGCGATCCGCCTCCTCGTCGCCGCGACATCATACGTCCGCACATCGCTCAGCAGCTGCAAAAGCCTCAACCTCGACAGAGAAACCTCATCGTCCTCGGCCGTGTTGTCGGCAAGGAACTGGCCGTAGGGCGGTTTGGGCGGCGGCTGCAGAGCGCGGTACGCCTCGTACGTGGCGGCGAACATCTCCCGACGCTCGGGAGAAGACCGCAGCGCTTCGACGGCCACGTCGAGGTAATAAGAGATGAGCTCGTCGACGTACTCGTCGTTGCCCTTGGCGAAGACGAGGTGCTCGAGGTAGTACTTCACGGCGGCGGGGGCTTCATCGCGGAGGATGGCGACGGCGTGGGCGGGTTCGAAGCGCGGTGCGCGGCCTTTGTCCTCGGCGAAGACCTGCGCGCCGAGTTTGGGGTCGCGGTTGGCAAGCCAGACGCCGTAGGTGCGTACGAGGGATTTGTTACTGATCTTGGTGAGGTAGTCGCGCAAGCGCTGCTCGCCGTCGCGGAATTCGCCGCCATCGTCGGGTTCGCCTTCGATGATGCGGCGCCACGTCTCTAGGACTTCAGCGGCCATCTTGCGGCTTTGGTAGAGTCGGCTCAGCACGAACAGCCGTCTGTACGACTCGAGGAGGTCGACGGCTCTGTCGAAGCAGTCGACCCCCTTGTCCACGAGGTCGTAGAGCTCGGCCCGGACCGATCCCTCCTTTCTCGACGTTACGCCCTTGGGCGAATGTTGGTCGATCTCGAGCAGGACGAGCAGGAGCGAGGCATCAACTGTCCGGAAGACGTCGTGCTCGTCAGCAATGCTTCCGAAGCCCTTCTTCACTCTCCACCCGGCGAGGAATCTACGCAGGAACTGAAGGACCCGGCCGTCCAGCGCGCCCACGGGGATCGGCGACGCGCAGACCTTTTCGTTTTGCAAATACCGCGCCGCCGACTCTCTCACGCCGCCGAAAATCCAGATGCCCTTCCTGCTTTCGGCAATCTCGTTTCGCAAGCCGGGAATGAGCGACAGCACAACCCGGGGGTCGAGAGAGCTGTCGACAAGTCTTTTCGCCAACGCCTCCGTCTCCGAATCAGTAAAGACGCTGTCTTTCTCAGCGTTCAAAAAGTCTACAAGAAGTAATAGCCCGGCCTGTTGCCGGAGGTAGCTCAGAGTCAAAAACTCCAGCTCATTCTTGGCATCGCGATCATTGATAGACTTGAGGAAGCCAAACACGCCATCGCGGTCCACTCTCGTCTCCGAAGGAACGACATCGCCAGGACAGAGCCCAACTTTCGCCTCGAGCTGAAGGAGCAACGGGTTCCGCACGGCCCACCAGATATGATTGCCGGTCCAGACGGCTATCCCCGCCCTCGCCTTGGCCAACCTCTTGACGAACTCTTCTTCCTCGCGATTGCGGCTCGCTTCCCAGCCCTCGGGTAGATCTTCATCCTCGGCGTCGAGATCGCGCTCGAAGAGTTCCCGCTCAGTGGACATTTGCGCGAGGGATGTCGCGGTGCGGGAGTCGATGCTTCGGGGGGAGAAGGGCGCGACGTCGGAGTCGCCATTGGGGAACGGGTTGAATCTCCTCTGGCAAAGCCTGTCTATAAGTTCTTGGCAGACCGTCTCGTCGTTGCCCGTCAGTGATCGGATGCCCAATGGCGACAACGGTGTCGTTTTCTCTCCCTGCCCTTCAGTTATTGGCGCTTCAAGCCAAAATTTGTCGGGTTCCGCATCGCCTTCAAAGCGTTGGATCTCAAGACCGTGGTGGGTTCCGTCCTCTGCATCCTTGGTCATCGACGCGAGCACATATTTGTCTACTTCGTCCTCGTTATTCATAGATGGCCTCGGGGACTTGGAAGAAGATACAGACTCCGAAAAGCCCACATCAACGACAACCTCCCTCGGATACCTATCAAACCCTAGCGTCGGACCCTTTGGATCGCCGTCGAGGTTCACAAACATGCCAATAGCAGGGTCCGTTGCGCTCGTGCCCGTAACGAGTAAGAACTCCTCCGGCGAGGGCGAGACGATATGCGGTTTAAGGAATGGGGGCGGGGGTTTCGGCGCAACGGAGGCGGCGGAGGGAATAGGGGTGGAAGAGGTAGAAGAAGGTCCCTGCTGGCCTGGGGTACTAGGAAGTGGTTTATTATTAGCCGTCTCCGGGGGCTTCGGGCTCGTAGGTTTAGATGGAGGTGTTGGTAGTCGAGCCACGGGCTCCTCGCCCTGGCGCGGGCCGAGAATGCCGCCGCTGATAAAGGCGCCGAGACTCGTGCTCCTAGCATGAGAGTGGTGGCCCTGTCCGGCTCCGGAATGGCTGCGGGTGTGGGCCGACGAGTTGCTGCGTAGTAGGCCGCTCTCGTTGGTGGCTGCGATGCTCTGGGTGTGCCCGAGCTCGCCTGGCGGTTGAGAATTATCGAGGGAGGAGATGGTCATTAAGGGGATCTTGAGCTGGTGCTCAACATCTAGTAAGGCATAGTGCCGGGAGTCGGCGACGCAGGCAATGTTGCCTCGTCTACAGGATATAGTGCTGCCGGCAAAGTCGATGTTCTATAGAAAGAGTGATCATCAGCGCTCTTGTCCCAGGTAGTAGTAATAGGAGCTTCCTCGGCGTCTCCGTGAAATATCCTACCTTTACTGCTCCCGCCTCCTCCCCAATGCGCACGACCTGTATCCGGCGATTCAGCGACAGCAAGACAGTAACCCTCTGGCCCCTCTGTTCGCGGGGATTATTCCCATTACTACGCTGGGGCAGATTCAGATCCACGCCGCCTATCCAGTTGCAGTTCCTGACCTGGGTAGTCCCGAACACGGGGCTCAGCTCGGGGAGGGAATAGAAGGTGACGGTCCAGTTGCAGAGAATGCAGGCCTTGCCGACCTTGGGAAGGAGGAGGATTTGCTGGACGCCGGGGCGGGAACCGGGGGGGGCGCTGTGGGTTTCGGAGAAGGCGGGTCGGAGGCGGGAGGCGAGGATGAAGGTTGGGCGGCCGCTGCCGTCGGTTGGTTCAAAGGGGATTTGGACGAAATGGAGGAGTTCGGCGGCGGAGGTGCCGACGTAGAGGTTGCGGTCTGGAGAAGTGGAGGTCTACGGGTTAGTAACGGAGAATGGCCCAGAAGGGCATCATCGGATCCTATGGATATCCTTTGACAACGGCGCAAACACACCTAGATAGTCGACGCAGGTGATCTTGACGTCTTCGGGGACGCCCTCGGTGGTGAGGGGCACATTGTCGAGGAGGGTGCGCAGGGCAAAGGGACCCGTCGAAGTGGATGAGGTTTGAAGTGATGATTGCATTGTTTCTTTAGACCCATGATCGTCGCTGGGCTTCGCATCCATCGGGTCTAGTCTTGTCACCGGAGTGGTTGCCTCATGCTGAGGGTTGGGTCGAGGAGCTTGGTTGAGGTGCGAGGTGGGATCGAGAAGTATGGTAGATGGCACGGTTGCGGCTTAGAGCTTGAGATGCAGGACCGTCGGACACGCTTTCTGGTCTGGTCGTACGCGGGATGTCGGGATACGTCGCAATAGTTCCAGTGACGAGAAATGGCCCGGTTGGTTCAGGCTGGATTAGCGGGTTGAATTGCGGCCCAGCCCTGCGTCTTGAAGCAACGGAGATTGCGCGAATGGTGTCGGGGCCCTTGAATGAGCCGCGCTGGGACGGGACCAGAAGCTGGAAATGGGTAGCTTGGACAGGGGAGACTACCTAGGCTGTGCTGATGCACCAAATCAATTTGAGGTTGCCGACTTCAGTGGACGCGTGGGCCCCAGCCACAGGGGAAAGGCCAGAACCGCCAGCGCTGTGATAGGGAGAGCCCAGCCGCGCCAGCCAACCAGGGCCAGCGCCAACATCTGGCAGCCCAAGGCTGAGTGGCGGCCCAGCCAGGCCAGGTCAGGCCAACAGGCAGGCAGGGATAGAGCCGAGCGAACTGGACATTGAACACGTTCCCAAATCATCACCATTTCAATCCCCCAACATCACGATCGCAAAATCTCCCGATTCGACAAATCCACATAGATCAATTTGCACACTGCATATCGAGCTAGCGTTTTCTTCTTCTTCTTCCTCTCTTCCTCTTATCTTTGCTGCCTCGAAGCCGCGGAGCTTTATCCAGCCACCCAGAAGTTCCATGGCTCTCGACCTAACCGGCTCCTGTTAAGCTCCCGGTCAACGCACCCTCACAGCCTCAGGGGGTGATTCGCATCCGAACCCTCCCGATCCAGAACCACTACAAATAACAAGAAACAAAATGGCCGACACGGCGACCTCGCCCACGGGGAGTCCCGGTGACCTGGAAAACGGCCCTGGCAACAAGTTCCAAACCGCCATCTCGGCGTGGAGGAGTATGTTCATCCGGCACAGAAATAACGGCACACCCATGGTTCGGAGCTCCCGCACTAACGTGGCTATCTCGCAGATGTCGACCTTACGACCCTCGTCACCCAGCTCGATAACACGGCTTCCGATATTGCTGCCCACCAGCGCGACTCGACGGTTCAGCGAAAGGAGCTAGCGCAAAAGACGAAGGACTTTAGGAAACTCGATGATGCGTCGAAGCTGACCGAAATCAAGGGTCTTCTCAAATGTATCGCCAAATAACACCCATGCCTCATAACCCTTTCTTCCGGAGGGTCAGGGTACACCTTTTTTTTCCCCCCGCTAACATGTTCATCTAGCTTACCAAACCTTTATCGATCTCCTCACGAACCATTCGAAATCGGTAAACTCGGTCTTCCTCCAGTTATACACAGCCCTCTCCGATGCGCCCGATCCGTATCCCCTCCTCGAAGCGTCGGTCGATTCGATGCTCGTCTCCGAAGACACCCTCCCCAAGTTGACGGAAGAAAACAGCCACCTACAAAAGAACGTAACCAAGCTCACGTCACAGCTCGAAGAGACCGAATCACGCCTCCAAACTGAGCGGTCGGCCCGCAAGGAGCTCGAAGACAAGCTCGAATCAAAGGTCAAGGAGGTCGAGGAGTCGTGGACTGCCGTGCTGGAGGAGAAGAAGGATAACTGGGCGTCAAAGGAGAAGGCCCTAGAGGAAAAGGTTGAGAGCCAAGAGCGCCTAATCAGCGAGATCAAGGCGAGCTATGAGGTCAACCAGCGCCTCGGCCGCACCACCGCCGAAGAGGATGGACAGGCGAGCAATGTGACGGCGGCGGAGGTCGAAATGCTCCATTCCGACCTCGAGCGCACGAGCACGAGGCTAGCCGAGGTAGAGGCCCGCAATGAGCAGCTACGACTGGATCTGGCCCAGGCCAAATCGCAGGCTACGACGCAGCAAACGTCTCTGGAAGACGACCCCGGATACATGCGGATGCGGTCCGAGAACCGGTCGCTTCTGCACAAGCTCGATGCTTCGAGGGTTGAGAAGGAGGCGGTTAAGCGAGATCTCGATACCAAGGTCAAGGCCCTCGAGCGTGAGTCTGGTCGCCTCAAGGAGGAGCGGGACGCGCTCAAGGCCAAGGTGCAAAAGTGGAGCGACTACGACAACGTAAAGCAGGAACTCGAGGTTCTAAAGAGCATCGAATTTTCTACGGGAGACGATGACGAGTTACCAGGACATGCTGACGACGTAGAATCCGCCGGAGGCAAGGCCAAGAGCGGAGGGGACACGCTGGAGAAGCTCCTTCTTGCTCGGAACAAGAAACTCGGCGACGAGCTCACGATCCTCCGAGTATCCCACCAAGACTTGCAGACGCGACTGCAAGACCTACAAGAGGAGCTGTCCCGGACGAACGCCGAGCTCGAAAAGGCGCAGCAGCTTAACGAGAAGCTCGAGAATGACCTTGCCACGCTTCAAGCCGAGGCGCCCAACGCTTTCCCCTCGGGAGCGTCAGTCGCGGGTACCTACGTGAGCCGATTCCCTTCTTCAGGTGTAGCGGGTCGAAAGGGGAGGATATCACCCACGTCGTCCATCATAAGCGGATTGGACCCTCGCAGCAGCTCCTCGATGATGGGCGAAGGCGTTGGCTCCTCGGGCAACACGATCCTTCCCATGCTCACGGCACAGCGAGACCGGTTCAAGAAGCGCAACGCTCAACTGGAACAGGAACTCTCCGAGAGCCACCGCACGGTATCGCAGCTCCGGCAAGAAATCGCCGCCCTACAACGGGACAACCTCAACCTCTACGAAAAGACGCGCTACATATCAACATACAGCCGCAGCGGCGGCGCGAGCGGCACGTCCTCGTCAGCCTACTCCACGACCAACGCAAGCCCCAACCCGAACCCGTCTACAATCGCAATCGGCGGCACGGGGAACCCCGGAATCGCGCTCGACCGGTACCGCAAAGCGTACGAATCCAACATTTCGCCGTTCGCGGCGTTCCGCGGGCGCGAGTCGGCGCGGGCATATAAGCGCATGAGCCTGCCTGAGCGGGTGGTGTTTTCGGTTACGAGGATGGTGTTGGCGAGCCGGACGAGCAGGAACTTGTTTGCGGCGTATTGTGTGGCGTTGCATGTGTTGGTGTTCATGTCGCTGTTTTGGATGGGGGCGGAGGATGTTGATAAGCATGCCACTGGGTTGGGCAAGTCGGCTGCTGCTGCTGCTGCGGCGGCGGGTGGCGCTGGTGCTGGGGGGGTTAAAGGGGGTGGGGAGTGGCATGAGGCTGGTTTTTAGGGGTATAGAGATTGGCTGAGGTTGCTCTGGTTTTATTTTCTTGGTGACGACTATGGGGAATGGGAAGTGTAGTGGGAAGAGCATTGAAACATTTGAAGGTCGCGCAGTTCGTCTGGGGACAGCACTCTGTGGGATGTGCTTTATAAAGTGTATGATTGGGATGGAAGGGGAGGGAAGAAGAACAAGAAAAAGAGCTTGGATTTTGTTTTTACTTTTTACGTTACGGGGTTTACGGGTCCTTTGCTCGATCTCGGTAGATCTGGGATAAGAAGGAATGAAGATGATGGATTTTTTGGTAGCCGCAGTTTTCTTACAGTCTTGTGTGTACGTTTACAGGTAGACTCTAATGATCGACTTCAAGTCAGGAAGGACACTGAACTGCATCGACTCTGGTTATCTTAGTCATCGATCAACGTTGGAAGGTGGGCTTTGTACTGACATCATTATCTCGTCTCCTGCCTGCTTCGGGCGGTGGTATGTTCTCGAAGATCCTGCTGCTCTCTCAAGCCCCCCCCCCCCCCCCAAAACCCAAAGAATAGGTCGGATCCATTGATCTCGGCAGCATCAACCCGGATCACCCGCACCCCTCGTCGAAAATAGAAATAACAATATCCACAGAACCATAAAAGCCAAGATAATGAGCGACAAACTCTAAAAAAGAAGTACGCACGCAATGCACCAACGCAACCCCACTCACGCACAAGATCTAAACGTGCGTCTTCCACGGATCTCTACCACCCTATCGATTCCGCTGCAGTCGAAAAAAGAAGAAGGACGGTCTCTGAGCCAATGGCGATAAGCGCCGGCCGCTTACGGCGGCCATTTAGCTGCGAGGCTGGACCAATTGGAGCAGCTATAATTTGTACCACGCGGTTAAGGTGGTGGGGATCCTGCGGGGTTCGGTGGAGTTCGCTTGTTGGTTTGGTGGGATTTGGTTGGAGGTTATTTTCGGGGGTCAATTTGGGTAAGCGCTGGGACGATCCCAATATTGAGGATTCTCGAATGGGGGATTTTGGAGTGAGGAGGAGAGAGAAGCAGAATTGGATTTTTGGAATCCCGTTTGCTGGTGGATTAGTTTGGAGATGGAAAGAATAGTCAGCTACGGACAAAGTTGTTCCTGTACTAAGATCTTAGGATACTGAGGCTCATTACACAGTCCTGTACTAAGATCTTAGGATACGGAGGCTCATTACACAGGATCAGTCAGGATCGATCATTCGTACAATCTGACTCCGTGGTATACTAAGCCAAAACCGAACGCCTTGCCTTGCACAGTCAGGTCAGCATCAAAGCCAGAACCTGAACTTCCGCGGTTCGAACATCGAATCCATCGCCCCGGAACCGACGACATCCGAACTCTCACCCCCCAGGCCCCCAATAACCCAGGATTCTCGAACGCGCCCCACAAGAAATTCTTCATCCCAGGACGATCGCAACGGGCGAGATTCCGAAAATATCGTTTAACCTTTTTTTTTCTTCTTCTTCTCGGCAGAGCTTTGCCGCGCGAGGTCTTCTCTTGGCTTGCATGTGGAGCTTGGCATGATTGGTATGATTGGTATGATTGGTAGCTAGATGAACGATACCATCATGAGAGGTAGTTTAGGAAGGTACAAAGGTACAGATGCAGCATAATCCAGGAAATTAGAAGGCAAATGCAAGAAACGAGAAAGCTACTTTAGAAAACGAGAGTACGTCAGAACCGGGCTCGACAGTGGACAGCTCATTGAGGGCGGCCGGCGCTTGCAGACCCCATGCAAGCTGCTGCATTGGGAAGCAAGGATCTGACCAATTGCGGGGTTGGATTGGGATGCAGATAAACTACAAGATACTTCGTACAAGGTACAACATCCAATGGGAGCCAAAGACGAGCTTCTCTCTTTCCTCTCTGTTTTCCTGCCCCTTGTCTGATGGAAGGAGCAAACATGACTCCTGTTTCTTCGAGTATCACCATCGCTCTATCACGCTGTGGACTGTAATACAATCCTCACGGACGGCTGCTTTGGACCATTTGCTTTGAACACAAGAACCAAAGAAGAGACGAGGCAAACAAAAATGATCCAGAGATGGAAACTCTTCGTCTTGCTTGTACAGCTGCCACTGTCCAGACCGTCATTTCATTCCCTTGTCCACCCTGCCCTGTCCACCCTCCCACTGGGCATCCTGCATCCTGCAAGCAACCCGAACGAACCAATGCTCCCCTCCCATTCATCCCATCCACACCATCCATACTATCCACCTGTACACTACGCATGCACCCACACGCCATCCCTTGTTTGCCCGGCGTCAAAGCAACGCCCAGACCAAAAAAGAAACACTCGAATCCGGCCTAGTCCCGAATCCCACATCTCCCATTGCCGCCCGCCCAACCCCCGTCCCAAATGACGCCAATAGATGCCGTCTTCAGTCGTAACCGCGCAGCTATTGCTTGTACTTTAAAAATCAAAAGTGTATAATAGAAGTGGTGATCCTCCCATCCTTTTGTCGATCTTTTTGTTTTCCGTATCCTGCATCTTGAAATCATCATCTCCATAAACGGCCGAGTCGTTTATTTCCTTTTATTTCCTTTTCTTTTTCTTTTCGTCGTTTCTTTTCCTTATATTTCCTAGGTTCTATTCTCTCTTATTTCCTACCAAGTCTTTCTCATTATTCTCTGGGATTTCTTCGTCATCTTCTTTCCTAGTGTCTCTCCAAGTTCTCTCTCATCAAACAACAAAAAAAATAACGACAAAACAAACGACTTACACACACACAAAACCATCATGAAGCTCCTCAACCTCCTCACATCAACCCTCCTCCTCCCATCCCTCACCCTCGCCGCCCCGACCCACGCCTCCCTCTCCTCCTCCGACCGCAACGCCCCCGCCGCCGTCGACCACCTCTCCGACTACTTCAACCTCCTCGCCCTCAAGGTCCAGCGGTACAAGACCCTCGGCTCGGCGCCCACCTGCGACATTTCCCGCGCCGTCCTCCCCATCAGTACGTTCTACTCTTCTTCTCTTCCCACAAGAAATCCAAATAAAAATATAAGAAAATAAAAGTCAGTCTCACTAACATACGGCAGCCCCCGACTCCCTCCCCGCGCCCTCAGCAGGCCTCAAACCAAAACACATCGCCCTAGGCCGCGGCACCCAAAACTACACCTGCTCCTCCCCCACCGACGCCCCAACCGCCGCCGGCGCCGTCGCCACCCTCTACGACGCCTCCTGCCTCTCCACCATCCACCCGGACCTCTTCACCACCCTCACCCGCCTCGCCATCTCCTTCGCCCCCATCCCCAAACCCCTCTCCTCTTCAACCGAACAACCCCGTCTCGGCCCCCAAGCCATGCGCGTCTCCGGCGTGCACTACTTCAATTCCCTAGGCCAGCCGTTCTTCGACATCGATGCCGCGGATAAGGGACATGTTACGGTCAAGCTAAATAATTCTATCCCCGCGCCGTTTGATTCTGCGACGGGCGTCCAGGGCGAGAAGGCCGTGGGGTGGTTGAAGTTGGTTGCTAGGGACGAGGACGGGAGTGCCACCAAGGGGCTGAGGGAGGTTTATAGGTTGGATACCGTCGGCGGGAGTGCGCCGGCGACTTGTGAGGGGATGCCCGAGACGTTTGAGGTTCAGTATGTTGCGCAGTAAGTTTCCCTGTTGGATGCCCCCCTCCTATTTCTGTCCTTTCTTTTTCTCTTTCTTTGGCTGGACTAACATGCAAAATTAGATATTGGTTCATGGGCTCCGATGACGAGGAGTAAAGACTGAACTTGAACTCGAATAAATTACATCTCAGTCTCTCCCGGGCCGGCGCTGGATACCGCTCATGCTTGGACTTGTTCACCTTTTCTTCTTTTTATTTCATCTTCGCGTTGCCTCTTTCTTTTTTTCTTCTTGGTCTCTTATATCATGTATGTTAGCAGTCGGTAATAAATGAGCACTCTTAATGTAGGAACTTGAGTCGTTTCGATAGTAACCCATCTAAACGTGAAGACCCGGTCCATATGTCAAGGATACGCTCTCCATCTTTATACGAGAGAACCTCGATAGGCTTGGGAACGGTCGGCAAGGAACTCTTCATGCAGAAATCTTGTACGCTTCCAACAGATTAGATATGCGAAGCAGTAAGCCTTTAGTCTTCAAGTAGTAGTAAACTCGATGTGTCATTGACAAGAAAAAGTGAGTTCTCTATAAGCGGCGAGTAAACCACAAAGGTTCGAACAAAGAAATCAAAAGACCTCCTCCCTCACCCCCTTCACATCCCACCATTTTTCATGCCCTCGAATCGATGCATCCATGTCTCATCAAGTAGAAACAATATTTGACCTCCCCAATCCCCTCCCCCCTTTTCCTCCTTCACATCCGCCACATGACTTGACCCCAACCCCATTCTATAAGCGTCCAGTAAAGAACCGCGCCCAGAAAATGATAGAATAAAAAAGACTTATAGGAAGAAAAGGCGGGTATCTGTTTGCTTCCCCCAAAACTCCTCTGAACAAAGAAAAAAAAAATATGAACCGATCTCAAACACAGAACGCAGATGAATGTATGCATGCTCATCACACAAGCACCCCCCAATCTACTATTCCCATCCTCGCCATGCCGCCCTCCCTACGCCCTCACAACCTCCTCATGCAACAACGTCAAAAGCCAATTCGCCTGCGGCACGCTCCCCAGCTGGAAACACCACTTCTTCACGCTCCCCCCAGGACTGCCCGTCGCCGGAATATACTCATCCCTCCTCTCCTCCCACACCGAGCAAATAATACCCCTCGTCCCCATCATTGTAAAGCACCCGCTTCCCAGCACGGCGTCGAGTACCACCCGCGGCACCGCCGCATCCCCTCCGTTGCCACCGCCCATCATGTCCTTCTTCTTCGGAATCGTCGTCACCGTCACGCGCTTCTCGAGCCCGTGGTTGGCCCGCAATTCCTGCCGCCAGCCCTCAGGTGGGCGCCGCACCTGGAGCCGGCAGTTGCCGTAGTCCTCCCACCTGCTGGCGCTGACGAGTAGGTGGAGCCGGATCGGCACGTTGTCGTTGCTGATGGGCTCGCCCCGGCCGCTGCCGTCGATGCTGACGGATGGCGATCGCGGCATGCTGCCTTCGGCCGACGACGACCCGGACGTGTACAAGCTCATGGCTCCGTTTTGCTTCTCCAACGATGACCGTCCAATGTTGAACGAGAGGTTTGCTCCGCCTGCAAGCCTCTTCAGGAAGCTCGACGCCGACATGGACGACGACGCCGCGGTGCTAGCTTCGTCGATCGACCTTGTCGGCGCCCGTGCAGACGCTCTGTAGCTGTTCTTACGCCCGAACCAGCTCCTTTTGGTGCGCAGGCCGCCCTCCTCATCCCCATTCGCAGGGCGGCGCTCCCCAAAGCTCCTGAACCTCATCTCGTTCTCGAGTTGGATGTACTTTTCATTCTTCAACCGCGCTGCGTGCACCGCCGCATAAAGGTTCAGGCACTCCTCCTGCGTCGCGTTGCGGAACCGGAACGTGCCGCCACCAATCGAAGTTATCTTGCTGTGGCCGAGAACGGCCGTTCGCACCTCTAGGTCGAGAGCGTTACTCTTGCGGACGAGCACCACGGGTGTCAAGTCGAGGGCGATCAATGGCTTGTCTGTCAGAGGGTTCCTGTTCGGTTTCATCGAAAACGCCTCCATCATACCGGGCGAGACGAGGATTGAGCAAAGGTGGCTCGAAAGATCCTTCCAGAGGCCGCGCTTGTCATGCCAGTGCGAGACGGAACATACGAAACGGGATGCGTCGTTCGACTCAATCGGCTCCACTGCCTCCACTGCCTCGACGGGTTGTCTCCTTTGGTGAAGGCCAGCCTGAGATGCCGAGTTTGATGGCGTGAGGCTGGCGTAGGATAGGACGGATTCCGTCATTTCTGAGCGATCATGGTCATGGTCATGGTCATGGCCATGATCGTGGTCGTGGTCGTGGCGGCGGTCATGGCCCTGCTTGATGCTAACACCGACCTCCGTGTCGGGTATGTCAACGCTATCGATATCATCATCGCCCGACGAGTCGCTCATGGATTCCTCCTCAGATCCTTCTTCCGATTCGCTTGTCAAATCTCCGGATTCCTCAGACGACGCATCCGAGGGCAGGTACTCGTGCTTGAGGGGTGAAGAAGTTCTACGCTTCACCCGCGCGTCCGAAGGCGGCTGGAGTGTCATAGGTTTGGGCTTAGGCGATGCGAAACTGCGGTGGATAGGTGGAGGAGGAGCGCCATCCGCGCGGAATGGCTTCGTGTTAGGTTGATGGTGCCGAGACGATGCGACAGACTCTTCGTCGTCGTCCTCCTCCTCCCTAGGAATCAACGGCTCATCGTGGGCCGCAGGCTGGTCAGGAGCAGTAACCTCGAGCTGGTAAGTTGGTGGAGGCGGCCTACTAGTATGATACCGGCTTGGCATGGGAGCCTTTGTCGGTGTAGTAGGACTCGTTGGGGTTGTGGGCTCGGATATTATAGACGGCCTATCGGGGGATTCGGCTCGATACTCAAGGGACGTCTGCGCGCCGAGGGGAACATCTCCCACCGCGCTCTGACGCGGTGAGCCGCCCTCTTGAGACGGCGTGTGCGGAGCGGGCTCGAGTTCGAGGGGCGGCAGTGGAAGAGTACCCAGCATCTCAACCCAATCATCAACCTGGCGCTCGTCGTCCGTTGTAAGGCGCATGAGCTCACGCCAGACCTTGCCGTTATGCGTACCCCGCACCATCACGAGGAGCTCACGACCACTATCCAACTTGCGCGCTGAAAGCAGGCTCATGGGCATCGGCGGGAATAGGAGCCACGTTCGTTGGCCTTCACCCGTCTGCCGAATCATCAGCTCGCCAGGGTGACCCAGAGCGCCAGGATTATCGCGATGCACGAGCTCAGCTTGACAATTGAGGCGCTGACCATTCGAATGGATAAGAGAGAGGTTAAATACGTCCTTGGCGCTGACCTGGAGGCTAGGGTCGACCTTGATATAGCCCATGGCGGCCAACGTGCGCAGATCTCGAGTTCTGGTTGTGTCCGTATTGGCTGCGTCTTCGTCCGTCACGCGAGCGCGCTCTTCTTTGTGTCTCTTGCGAGCTTTGTCCTGCAGGGACTCGAAAGACGCAACGAGTAAACCGGTTTGCTCTGAGCCGATGATGTCATGGATCCCCTAGTGGTCGAATGTCAATAAAGTTCGCGGAAACCTAGAGGGAGGATTGATGATGCTCATCATGCATTTACATACCCTGACAAAGTTTGTCACCATCCTGATCCGGAAAATAGGCCTCTTTAAAAGGTGCGCAACGTCAACCCGTTCTCCATCCTCATTCACGATATCGCCCTCGGCGTTTCTAGGTAGCGCATTGAGTAAAGAATCCAGGTCATCCGGGATGTCTGAAGCTGGCGCCAAATTGACGATGAGATTCTCAAACCCCAACCTCCATGCATCGAGATAACCATTGTAAATTGGGATCACGCCCTCCAGCCAAGTAACGAGTCTGTGCACGTCACTTAACGGAGCCCTTCTATGGGCGTTCCTCAGCTTCTCCAGGGAGATGCCCATGCTCACAACAGCCTTGGACATGGCATCGACTTTGCGACCTGGGGCAGATGGGCCAAAAACAGTTGTCAGGTCCGCCGATTCACCAATGACGGCGTTTAGCAGCACGGGGATGACGCCATCTACGAGGGTCTTGAGCTCCCGATTGTAAAGGTTCTCGTCATCGGCAAACTCTCGGAGCAGATCGTTCGTCGTGACGGCGCTGCGCTTGCTCCGGGTCCGTCTCACGCTCGGCCGGGATCTTGCATTTCTAATGCCTTGAGGAACGCTTGCATCATCCGGTGCTGAGAGCACCGATACTAAATCAGAGTGCTTCGTAAGCCTCCGCTTCAAACCGGGTCTCTGACTTGACCGCCTCGACAGCTCCGACTCCTTGGTAAGGGTCGTCTGCGTGACAGTAGTCTGCGACACCGTCGACATCGTCTCATTATCACGAGACGAACACGTTTCCTCCGAGACTATAGTAGAGAGTTCGTGGAAGCCATTTGTAGGCGGCCTCCTCCTTGGCTCGGGCAGAGAAGAAGTCGTCGTCGTCCTATCATCCTCAAGGTCTCTACTGTCAAATGAGTCGGGGGACAGCGATCGCCTTTGTGATCCGGATCCTGCCGAGCGCCGTCGGCAGTGACAGTGTGGATCTCGGCACTCTTCCTCAAAAGATACTTCCGAGTCTATAGCCCCGTAGACCCTTTCCTCGCGACTCTCGTAACTGGTCTGCGTAAAGATCTGGTTGCTGGACTGCCCCTTGAACGCATCTTTGAGGGCATCGCGAAGGTGCTTCTTTAACCCTGCCTTCAGTGGTGATGCGGTGCCTCTCGTTGCCCCCTTTCGCTTAAGCCCCGTAGAAGGCGGCGTTTTGGTCTGCGTTTTCGTCGGCGTCTCGACGGGCTTCTTCTTTTCTTCATGGACAGCTTTAGGAGTAACATTCTCCTCATTCTCCTCGGGCGGTGGTGGTGCCGGCGCCGGTGCCGCCGGACGAGGAGATGTCTTCTTCGGGGTTGTCTTCGGCGTCATTTCATCAGGCTCGCGGGTCCTCGCCTGGTTCTCCGCAGCCCATTTCTTCTCAACAGACTTTCTCCTCTTGATAGGGTTAACATCTGGTACATTCGCAGGAGCGTCAACAAACGGATCGACTGTATTTGTGAGCCAGGTTTCGATGCTGGGCGGCTTGTTTACACCGGCTGGCCTTGGCGGTTCAGGATTCATGATCTTCTTTCCCTCGCTCACGACTCTCTTGAATACTTTGGGCACGCTGAGACTAGGATTTCTCTGCGGCTTCTGCCTCCTGCTGCTGTTTCGCGCATCTGCGCCGAGAGGTAGGTCCAGCTCGCTAAAGGCAGACTTGCCAACAGGGATATCGAGCATCGTGGGTGCGCTCGACTCGATGATAGAGGGCTGCTCTCCCAGCTCTCCGGAGGACCCATTGGAAGTAGCTCCAGGGGACCTAGCCCCTGCCATCTCGGGCCCTAGTTCGGTTTCTGTTGACTCGGTAGCTTCTGTAGCTTCTGTTACTTCTGTGCTCTTTGAAGTCTGCGTCGTTTGGGTAATTTCAGTTGGTGCAGAATTTCGCTTCTTTTGAGCCAGCTTTGGTTTAGATCTCGACACTTTGCGTCGAGTCGGAGTCGCGGGCTCGTCGACAGTTTTCGCCGTGACTTTGCTAACCTCCGAGCCCATTTTATCGTGGTCAATAAAATCATATGGCGACTTATCCCGGAGCGAGAGTGAGGGTGCTATACTTGGGGCACTCCTTGAGGATTTCCTGTTGCTCTTTTTGCGCTCTGCGTCGACGTCGACTGAATCAGGTATGGGGCGCACCCGAATGCCATCATCCTCAAGCTGGGACCTTGTCGTTGTTGTTGGCGCTGAAATAGATGACCCATTCTCCGGTTCCTTTGGTGGTTTCTTCTTCTTCTTGCCGCTATCCTCTATCGGTGTCACTCTAATGCCATCATCATCAAGCTGGGACTTTGTCGTCGTGGTTGGCGCTGGAACGGAAGACTCCTTCTCCGGCTGCTTTGGCGGTTTCCTCTTCTTCTTGCTGCTTTCCCTCATCGGTGTCACTCTAATTCCGTCATCATCTAACGAGCGCTCAGATTTGGCAGCCGGGGTACGAGATCGGCGGGGCGTTGATGGGGCTTTTTCCGAGTGGGCACTCAGTTCGGAAGGAACTAACGAATCCACCGAGCGAGAGAATTCGGTCATCTCGTCAACGTGGTACTTCCTTCCACCAGGGCCATCGGCAGGCGGGACGTTCTCCACGGTCTTCGCCCACTCCTTCACCTTTTGGGAGGCAGGCGGATTCCGGGCCGTCCGCAGTAAAAAGTCCTTTGGAATTGGCATAGGTTTCGACTCGGGGGGCTTTCTCGGACCTCGAGGGGGGCTGCGCCTCGTTTTCCCCTCCTTCTTGTTATTCATCCAGTGGTCATCGCTTACCACCCTCTTTTTGGGAGGCGTCTTCTTCTTGGGAGTGGCGGCAGCTCCTATGCTCTCGGGCTTCGTCTCCTCCGAGGTTGATAATTTTGATGCTGACTCGGCAGGTTGTTGTGGCTGTTCTTGTTCTCGTTTTTCTTGCTGGACGACCACTTTTGGCGTGCTGGCCTTTTTCTTCCTCATCTTGATCCGTATACGGTCCTCTTCGGTAACACTCTTGTCATCACCCGCAAAGGCAATTTCTGTCGGCTCACTTGGTGTGGCCATCGGATCCCCAGCCGCCATGGCCGCCGCATTCGCCTTCTGCCATGCTTTGACCCGGTCGCGCACACCTCCAGGCTGTTGGAGCTTACGGACCGAACTCTGGCGCATCTCTTGTTTAATCTCCGCCTTAACAGCGTCCATGGTCATCCTCCGCTGCCTCTGAGCAGCTATGCGGGCAGGCGAGGGTCGTCCTCTGAGGAAGTCAACAAGTAGTGTGGGTGGCGGCGGCCCGTCGGTCTTGGTGTAGGTGCGTTGGCGGGCTCCAGCAGCAGGAGCACTTTTCGGCGTGCCGGGAGCAGCAGCGCCGGTGGCTCCTGAAGGATCTGGGGTGGAGGTGACATCTTTAGGTTCATCGTCAGCGGGGGAAGCCGCCGGTTTTCGGGCGGGCGTAGAAGGTTCGTCGGACTCGGTTTGGATCGACATGGTCTGGCTCCAACGACAGTTAGTCATGATGCGATCATAGTTCGACTAGCATGGAAGGAAGAGCTCATGGCTGTCTGGTTTTTAGCACCAGGGGGGCTTGACAGCATGGCTTGTTGTTTCTAAATTTCTGACTTTGTTGGTGCAAATAGTGGGTTGCCATGTGGGAGCTCGAAGCAACGAGTAGAAAGCTTGATGGACGGGATCTTGTTTTTGTGGACACCAAGTCAAGGGGGAAAAATAACGATTGAAGGGACGACAACAATTGAATTGAGAAGACAAACCTATGATTATGATAATAGCATACTGACAACAATCAGGAAGTTGCGATCGGGTCAAAGGGAACTTCCGGCCCAAGTCTGTCGACGAGTGTACGGAAAGAGCGGATAGCAACAGCACACCGCAAAACGACCGACGTTGAACTTTGCGTCCGGGTCCGGGGGATATTCATAAGTCTAAAAGAAAAAAAGATAAAATGATAGCTCTCGTTCGACTTGCAAGGCTTGAATTAGAAAAACAATATGACAACCCCTGACTCTAATTTAAATCTACTGCAACATATGCATCCCATGAAAAAAGTAAAGTAAAAATAACAATGACGAAGGTGGACATGGATCAGGAAGAGAAGTAAAGAAGATGTTGGAGGGTGGAGAGACGAGATGCAGCAGGTCTTGGGGTTATCGGTCACCAGCCAGAGTCCGGCAGAGAGAGTCGAACCAGCTTCAGTTGCATCAGGAACTGCTGCTGCTGTGAGCTTCAGCGTCATGACCAAAGTCCACACCACCTTCCTGCTTTTCCTGCTTGCTCAGAACCATTGAACCATCAATGTAAACAATACAAGCCCGTAGCGGCCAATCAGGAGCCCCACATGAGGTCATGGTACCGAATCCAGAGAAAGTTGGATGGCAGAAAGCGGTAACAAGATGGACACACTAGCTGGAAAGTGGGGCTCGGGAATGGAAGTCCAATGCAGAGTGTGGCTGACAAGGTACTTCCCGCAGCGGACGATATTCTCGCCCGCCTTAGTGCATGCCCCTGTATGATAATATCATCGAATCCACCTGTTCACACTTGTTCTCCCCTGTCAGCTGAAATTGATCCTGGCTGCCAGGGCAACGGCCCAATCTGGACAGTAGACAGGTACCAAAGTATCTCCTGCCCCACCATTCATGGAAAAAATGCCCCGCACCATCGAGGAAGCGGCTCGACTCTGAAGGCCCAAAATATGCGATTTGATCCGGTGTGTGTGGGCATGGGAGGTTTCATATGTGCGCCATCTATATTTCCTGGTTACTCTATGCAGAATTGAGTCACACTGACACAGTTACCTCTGAATAGAATCAACCACTCTTTTTTTGCAAGCCCAGGTGCCAAACTGTTCAATTCAGACTCGGCCCCCAGGTACAAGGATCGCGAGGACCCACGAGGAGGAATATATCACAAAAAGCGACAATTCCTGCACACGATGGCGACCGAAGGCACAGCAACTCCCCAGCCCGCAGCGCCCGTTCCGGAACCCGCCGCTGGCCAGGATGCCGCCGCTTCTCGCGAACAAGATATCAACCCGTGGTCTGTCGAAGGTGGCCAGGACGAATCTGGACAGGTCGTTGCGATTGATTATATCAATCTGTCAAAGTCTGACAGCCCCGCATCCCACGTCGCTTCATAACCCCTCTTACACCATGCTAACCAACATCCTTGCGCGCATTACAGGAAGTGGAACACTCAACTTATCGACGACAAGATCCTCGAGCGCTTCGAGCGCCTAACCGGCAAGAAACCCCACCGCTGGCTTCGTCGCGGCCTCTTCTTCAGCCACCGCGATTTCGACAAGATCCTCGACAAGTATGAAAAGGGCGAGCCCTTCTTCCTCTATACGGGTCGTGGCCCAAGTTCCGGCAGCTTGCACCTGGGACACACCATCCCTCTGCAATTCACGCGCTGGTTGCAGGAGGTGTTCGACGTACCCCTCGTATTCATGTTGACGGACGACGAAAAGGCCCTGTTCAAGGACTCTCTCACTTTTGAAGAGACGTACAAATACGGTCTGGAAAACGCAAAGGATCTTATCGCCCTCGGATTCGACGTCAAGAAGACCTTCATCTTCAGCGATCTCAAATACGTCTCCAACCATATCCTCATGAACGCCTGGGAATTCTCCAAGCTCGTCACCTACAACCAGGTTCGTGGCGCCTTCGGTTTCAACGAGAGCACCAATATTGGAAAGATCTTCTTCCCTTCCGTCCAGTGCGTCGCTGCTTTTGCGACGTCCTACCCCGAGCTCTGGACCGATGAGCCCCTCCAGGAGCGCACAAAGGAGATCGCCAGCATCCAATGTCTCATTCCCATGGGCATTGACCAAGATCCTTACTTCCGTCTCCTAAGAGACAACGCTTCGAGGATGAAGAACCCTTCGCCCAAGCCGGCGTTGATTCACTCCAAGTTCTTGACGGCGCTACAGGGGCCTGGAGGAAAAATGTCTTCCTCGAACCCCAACTCCGCCATTTTCATGACTGATACTCCCAAGCAAATTAAGGTATGTGTTCGGTCTCTCATACCATCCCACTCCCTTCATACGTCAGAAGATGCAGCAAAGGTCGCTAATCATCTCGATCCTATAGACCAAGATCAACAAGTACGCCTTCAGCGGCGGCCAAGAAACCCTCGAGCTCCACCGCGAACTCGGCGGCAACCCCGACGTTGACGTATCTTACATCTACCTCACCTACTTCGAGGACGACGACGAGAAGCTCAAGGAAGTCTACGACACCTACAAGAAGGGAGAGCTCCTAACCGGTGAGTTGAAGAAGATGGCCATCGAGCTCCTCCAGCAGTACGTTGCCGAGTTCCAGGAGAAGAGGAAGGATGTCACCGACGAGGTGCTTGACGAGTTTATGAGGCCTAGGAAATTAGAGTCCAAGGGGAATACGCAGCTTCAGGCTAAGCTGGCCAACTTGGCTTTGAGGCAGCAGAAGAAGAAGAAATAGAAAGAGCAGAAAAATAAAGAGTGCGTAGACCGAGGGGAGAGTCCCGAATGTGATGTTGGGTCAAGAATTCAAAGTGGATGTCTGAACGTTTTTTTGCTGCATAAGAAGTGCCCCGTTTTTGCAATTGAGGTTTATGAGATATGAGTACTCACGTATAGAGGCAAGGCGAGGGCATCTGTACTCCGTACACCGCCTCTCGATACCAAGACATCACCGATGTAGTTCAGCGACATCGTGCGGATCAATTTCCAAGTCCAACGACTTGAGCTGTTGCCACCCGCCCCTGAGTTCCACTTTCACGCTTCGAAAACGAACACTCATGGAGATGAGACAGTCCACGAATACGACCTCCGCCCATTTAACCTGTTGGTGACGACGCAGCGGCCCCATACAATTGGCGGTCATGCCTGGGCGGAAACCACTACTACTTGCGTACTCAGTGGTATGGAGCACGAGAGAGAAAAAGGTGTTTTTTTCCCCCTCATTTTGTCTAAAGAAGAATTTCCCAGTATTCTGCTTTGGAATGAACGATGTTAGAAGCAATGACGTGGTCGAGAATCATCCAGTCCGACGTGCATAACTCCCGTGCGAAAATACCCGAATTGGAATGCATGCCGGGCCGAGCTCGCATGTTCCATGCTTTGACGGATTGAGATTCGAGAATTCCGGCTGTCAGAAGACGCATCTGCTGATGAAATAGCTGTCGTTCCTCCCATGACCCATCACGAGAGGCAAAGGAACGTGGACGTCTAAGACCAAACTATCTGGGTTTGAAACAGCCTTCTTCGGAGCTGAATTGAGACTTGCACTCCTCCATGTCTGAGGATTAAGATGCAGGTCTTTGTCTGAATCGATGGCGCTGATATAGTAAATACATCCTGCATTAAATCTTGATGCCTACATGATCCATTACCCTGCGTACGTCGGGCCCTGCGTCATCGTTTTACCACTTCGGTATCAGCCCAATGCGCTTCCTCCCAGAACAGTTCATCTATGGAAAACATAAATACAGCGAATTCAATGCTTCCTCTCGAAACTTAGTGTTGTCTCACTCCTCGACAGGCAAAGCAAATCGGACCTTGCGGACCTTGCGCTCCCTCAACCTTGCTACCGCTTTGTCGTCGTCGACGTCCGCGTTTCGAGTGCTGGCTCGCATGGAACTAAACTTAGACTCGGCCTTATTGTGATCAGTTTCCCCCTCCTTGGCAATGGCCCGTCTAGCACTGCAGTCCTGTTCCTTCTCGACACACCAAACGTAGGCACTAGGATCTCGCGAGGACCGCTGAGAATACCGTGTTGTCTCCACTTCTCCCGTCGACCTCCTACGTGCGCCTATCGCACTCACAAAGCCGCTCCTCTTTGGGGCATCTTCGAGGAGATACTGGGGCCCGAATCCACCGGCCGGAAGACGGATATAATCCTCCCCATCTGAGTCGCCATCTGGCATATCCCCAGGCAGTTCTGGGCAGGTCCGGGGCCACTTCGACTGTTGGTTCAAAGTGAGATTGGGCAAGCTGAAGTTCGTGATATTAGTCTTAGAAGACCGGCCCGCGATCCTAGTCGCTACATCGATAGAGCTGTGGTCCGAGTTGTAAGTCGTACCTGGCCCTGGTACAAGGAATGGTTTCTCGCTGAGAACCGCTTCGTCCGGGGGCCGAGGGCTGGGGCGCTCCTCGGTAGGTGGCCGGTAGTCAGTAATCAGATGATTTATTGGCTGAGCAGGCATGTCGAAGGCTTTGTAAGGAACATTGAAGTGTCTCGACCGGAGCTGGGTTGGTTTGGGTGTTGCCTGGATGTTGGTGAGCCTTAGGCAGTGACTCCTCTGCACAGATGCCTACCAAGATAGGAGATGAGTCTTCTTCTTCCTGAAGGCTTGTAATGAATAGGGCAATGTCAACTCTGGCACGTTCATTGAATTTTGTCACTTCAGTCCACAGAAAAGCGCGAGAAGATTCTCACTACTATACCACTCCGGGCCTGAGCTCCATTTATATTCGAGGCAGACCGAGATCCCTGCCCTGGCTTGAGGACTAGATACGAGTATCGAGTCACACTGACACTGCCCAGCCCTCTTTTCAAGCCCTTCAGCCACTAACTGGGCAAGGCAGCAGTCAGGCTGTTACAATGCCGTCGTAATCTGTTGCGCTGGCCGTTCTGGTTCCAGGGCCAAAAAATGCCAGAATACCCGAAATTCAAAATTCTTCGGATCATCGCGACCCCTTGCATGGCTAAGGCACGGGAGATCGCAAATGGGCTGGCATTTGGAATGTCACTTTCCCGAGGCTCTCCTCCGCACCCCTAAACTCCATGAGCCCGTGAGTTAGAAAAGCGGAAAACGAAGAATTCCAGAGGCCAAGTTGTCGAGATTCTAAGACATTTGCGATTCAAGATGGCGTTCTTGCTCCTGCTACAAGTGTCACCTGCCCTTTTAGATCTTGAAGTTAGGTAGCCCAAGGATCTCTTGAGCAACTCGAGTGAGCAAGTCGAGTTCTTCTAAGCTGAGGAAATAGCGTCGCTTTCCTCAGGACATTCGTCATGATCGAGACAGGCCTCGCCACTCCACGAGTTACACGAAGAAGAAGAATGTAGATGGCATCCAGGGTGCCAATCGAGGGCCTCTCCAAATCAAGAGCAAGTTTCTAATCCAGGATGCTGAAAGACAGTCTTGATTCCTTGACGGGGCATCTCCGTACATGAGTAGACCTCCGAGATACTCGATTGAGCCAGCGAAAGCCAGAGAGCTCATATCTGTATCACCGATGGCATCATCGCGCGTTGTCCCGTCTTCTGCTCGCCTATCTACAGGATCTTGATTCTCCCGTGGACCGATCGACCTCTTTTCATTTTAGAGGTCCAGAGACCCGGCCATGAAATTTGGTGTTTAGACGAAAGTAGAAGGCTCGAGAACGATGAATCTTAATCGATGAAGCTCGTGCTCAATGTGTTGTTACAGCTATGGTGCCTCTATTGCGCATTGCTCGTTTCGAGAATTATGCGGGGAAAACAAAAAGAAAGTAGGAAAGAACAAGTCGGGTCTATCAGAAACGGGTAGCACCTACCTTAAACAACACGATCTGAGAAATACCACAGAAAAGCCTCCACAGACAGAAGATTTAATGGACAACAATCTTCCCAATCCAGAAATGTATCAGAGCCATCTCCTCCACACATCCCCGGGGTTCCCAGGTACGAGAAGACGACCGCCATCTAGATAATACTGAAGTCCATACAATACTAACGTCTTCTCACCCCTATCACAGGCGCCAAAGCTACGGTCGACGACGGCACCGCACTCCTCGCCCCAGCATTTGAAATGAGCGACTTACCACCCTCCCCGCGTCCCAGTCCTATGTATGATGGCAAGATGGGCGATATAGCCTCTGCCGCCCTCTCCGCATCCGACAACCCGTGGGAGATAAGTAAGGCCGTCATCTGGCAAAAAGTGCTGGCGACGAGCAACAGCCCAGCTCTGAATTTGATGGCACCGCGGCCTGTACTATTTCCACAATGCCCATTCTCAGACGCGTAAAGGCTGACAATATATAGACGGGCAAGGACAATATTCGAAGCGTGCAGCTGAGACAGCCCAGGGCCATCAATTGGGCGCGTCCCAATCTTGTGGCTGTGCTTATCAACGCTACTGGCACAGCATCTCCACAGCAGTGCGATGACTGTGTGGTTGGAAACGGACCTTTTCAAATGTGTATGGTACGGGCCGGCATCGCGAACGGCTCATGCGGGAACTGCCACTTCAATTCTCAAGGATCCCGCTGTTCATTGCGCCTCACGGGTGAGTAGTGGCTAAACATTTAAATTTACAACATTGCAGCAGAATACTTACAACCACGTAGAGGCTACAACGGAGTCCCACAAACGGAAGGGCGAAAATGCGACGACAAACCCCGCGCCGCAGAAGAAGACGGCCCGAGACCAGGCATTATCAGCGACCACAAACCCGATCCCGCCGGCAACAGCCCCACTTCCGCCCCTTCATCCGTTTGCGGGTATGATGCCGTGGCCTATGAACCCTGCAACCCCAGTATATCAGCAATATTATCCCGTTCAACAGCCGACCGCGCCGCCTCCACCCGCGCCAGGAGGCTTGTTAATGCCCGACCTCACGGATCTTAGCAACCAGGAGAGGCGCCGTTTCGCCTCCATACTACGGGCTTTGGCGCAAGCCATAGAGGATAGCGGCGCAGAGAATGAGCAGCACTGAAGGGGGCGTCTCCTCCCACACCAGCACTTATAAGCGCAGAGGGACCCCGATCCTCTCATCTTTATTTACCTTCCATCAATTCCCACCCCCCGCCACGTTATAGGCGCAGAATAGACGTTTCCTCGTCCCAAGATATTGTCGTTGATTGGGATCTTCGGAAAATCTCTGTCCACTCAAGGCCAAGATCGGATAGGCGACGCGAACTAGTACGGTGTACAGCATTCTAGAATTTCTTCTCGCCTCCCTCACCTTCTCGAGCAGTTTATGCACAGTATAAGTGTTGAGTTATAAGATACTGCAGGAGGATTCGAGATAGGGGCTGATGTGAAACGCACCAGAACTGATATTAGTTTCATTGGTGATGTTTCCCGATATGAGTACCCTTAATACAAATGCATATTGCGTTGTAATACTAATGCCGTAGCGGAGAGAAAGGGTTTTATATAGGCCCGCGTAATAAATTGCAGGTCCCTCAAGTGCTTCCCTTTACCTGAACAGAAAGGAGCGCACAAGTGAGATGTCGATCCCTGCGAAGCCCAGCAGGGTAGCTCTTAACATATCCACATTTCAAAATGTGAGTTTGGAACGAGTGAATTGATGAGCTTCCCCCTCCATGTCGCTGTCTTATGTCCCATTCCTCGACGATCACAGGTGAGTAGATCGCATCCGGGCTCAGAGGTCGACAGGAGAACAGCAACTTCATTCAAGACCATCGTGACTCTGTAAATCTCATTCGTACTAGGGGCCAGCTCTTCGTGGCCAGGATGTAACAAACTTCGTTCATCCCTTGAGAACCGAGAGAAGGATATAGGCCTCTAAGCAAGACTTGATTCCACATCCGGAAGCGGCAGCACTGGAACAAGAAACGAAGTGCAAGAGCGCTGTTCTCGATGTTAGTTTCCCAGCTGCCACCCAGCGGCCATTCTCGGCTCGCCCGACATAAGACAAAATAGATGAATTTCTATGGCATTGATGAGACATATGAACCCGGTTAATGGTGCCGTATCTAGAATACGTCCAAGGTCCAGCACTCGATTCCATGGGATCTTAGCGTAGATTCCCAGGAGCGAGGTTTCCTTAAGATACCTCGGATTCTGAACGCGCAATAGAGGGTATTTACAAGCGCCCTTTTGTTATTGGACTCAGAGAACGTTGCTCTCAGTGGTACCAAACCAGGCAACGAACTTTACTGCCGCAAAATGGGTGCCGTTGTTTGAAGACAACTCCAGAACACCTTCAGAGGGATTTCACCATCGTAAAGGCAAGTCTCTGGCTAGGACATAGGAAACTTCGCTCATTGTACTCGTCCACAACCGAACACTCGACAGGGCACTATATGACCTCCGAGTGTTCCAGAGGGCAACCGATGATTCCGATGAGGATCTGTTAGGCGTGTGGTCAAGGTAGAAACCTGGGTTAATTCCTCTGCGAGGGCGATATCTCATTAGTATGCTCTCCGCATGAAAAGTCTTGAGTCCATCTCCATGGGCACGGATTCGGAAAACCTAAGAATATGGCGAGAACCATCTAGTTCACTTGAACATGACGGCGAAGATAACCAGGAATAGCTTCACTTTAGGTCTGCTAATTCTTCACGAAGGATCATTCTAAGAGGCAACACACGAGAAGCATCTTCAATTTCAACTACTAAATGGGGGCGATGTTCCATTTGGAGTTGATACTCTTGGTTAGGTTAGGTCCGGAGATCTGGACAAGGAGTCGTCCGTGACGATCTTGGGTACGACTTCGTTGCCATCGGAATCTAATTTCTCTTTCCGTCAAGCTCAATACCTTTTTCCCATAATCTTGGGGACTTGACACTAGGCTACGGTGCACTCTATGCGAGTAAATATCCGGTCCCTACCGCGTAGTATCACTACATACATTGCTGAAAGATTGCACTTATTTCAGCCACTCTGGCACTCTGGACCTCAACGATAAGATGATCTCTGTGACTTACAATAGATAAATAAGTATACAGACATATTACTTGTTTCATGACCACTGATTCAATCGCTCTGTTGTAAGTTTCGGAATACATGCGACAAAACTGCTTTTGCACTCAACTTTCTCGGTGTGCATCTCCGTCTGACCGACTCGACTGTCCCGCTTCACTGACGTCATCCTCCACTTTGGACTTCACTCAACGTCTCCATCCGTTCTTCGTTCTTCGCCCAGGAACATCGCAAACTCCAAAAGGCATTCGAAGCACATTATAAAAGGCATCTATTGCTAAAATGATGTTTACTGACCACCCGCCTCCACGCCCGCCCCTCCCTATCCGCCTGATCACATACAACATCCGCTACGCTGCCACTCATCGCGCCCCCAACGAGGAGCCCTGGCCCATTCGATGTCCCAAACTCGCAACGCAACTCCAATTCACAACCTCTGGTTTCGAATCCGCCTTCATATGCCACCAGGAAGTTCTACACCCTCAACTACAGGACCTCGCCCGCCAACTCGGCCTCCGATGGGCCTACATCGGCCAAGGCCGCGACGGCGGCACCGAAGGCGAATACTCCCCCATCTTCTACGTCCCACACGTCTGGAAATGCGACGACTGGAGAACTATCTGGCTGAGCGAGACCCCGAACGTGCCCTCGAGGGGATGGGACGCGGTGCTTAACCGCATCGTCACGGTGGGCGAGTTCACCCATCGCCGCACGGGGGTTAGGATAGTCGTCATGAGCACGCACTTCGACCATGTCGGCACCAAAGCCCGTGAGGAGAGTGCGAAGCTTATTGTGTCGGTTGTGCGCGAGGTGCGGGAGGGCAGGAATGGTCGACGTGCAGCTGCTGTCATCCTTGGGGGCGACTTCAACAGCCAATCAGATGACCTCGGGTACAAGATCATCACCGCCCCCGATTCTGGCTTGGTTGATGCCCGCGGGTGCGTGGCCGAGGAGAAGCGGTACGGAAACGAGCATACATACACATCGTTTGGAGAGACTGATGATGCTCCCAAGAGGATAGACTTCCTCTTCGTCACCAACGATGCGGGTGCAAAGGTTGCTACCTACGGAGTCCTGTCTAACCGTTTTGACGATGGGGTCTACATCTCTGATCATCGTCCCGTCGTTGCAGACCTGGAGCTTCACCTCTAAGAGAGTCGTCAAGCATGAGACATAAGGCCAGTCCGACTTTGTTGAGCTACCCCTCCTGCCTATCCAGTGATATAATGAGATTCCCCGACAGGCAAAGCTCCGTATCCCTTCCCCTCTTCCTCGGGGGTAGGCGTTCTCAACGACGATTTCGATGCCTAATCACGGAGCTTTATGCCATGCACGCACCATAAGCCCGGGGTGTTTGATATATAAACAAACCTGCAGAGCCATCAGTCCACGATCTTCGCCGTCAACTTCGACCTTCCTGCGAGTCTGCCACCCTGCACTGCCAAATCGTCCCTGCTGCATCGCAGACCTCCTTTCTTCCACCTCGATATCCACAGAGCCACCTGTTCAATGCATCTTTGGCATATAATCCACTGTAACAGGTGTACACCTCACCCACTACTGCACTTTACCCTTAAAAGAACAAAATGTGGCCCCCCAACCAAACGTCATCCCCGACTATGCCGTGGATGTACTTCATACGAAGTACAATATTGCACTTCTCGGAGATATCACCAAAAACTCGCTAATCCCTGAAGGCCCCCCTCGGTTCTCTCGAGCACCTCTTGCCCTAATATCTATTCTTTGGCTCTCCTGTTTCCCTCTCCCCCTCTCCCCACGCAACGCATACCCATGTCAACACACCCCTTGATCCCCGTTTCCCTTACTCCACGTATCCCGCCCGCTCGGTTCCTGTACATGGCGGATCCATGGTCACATGCCCACTCTTCATCTCCTAATCGGGGTCTGGTCCCACCTGTAAAATCGACAAGTCCCCCGGTCTCACGCAACAATTCAGGGCGGGCGGGGGTTGAAAGGGGAGGTTGGGGAGCTCAAATGAGTTGTCGACAACGCACTGGAAGCCGAGCCTCCTCAGCTACAACGCTGAAGGGGGAAATGCGCAGTTGTAGTGTCCTGTACCTGTTCTCCACTTTCCGGTTTCTGTTAAACGAGGCGAGTACCGCTGCAGCGGTGGAAGCCGGCGCAGGGAGAAACGTGGGAAGCCGTGGGTTTCCACTGAATTGGTCTCTGCAAAGCTGTAAATTAGGGCGAGAAGGGGTTCGAAATGGCGGTGTGGTCCTGGCGTGGCAGGCAGGGGAGGCTCTGCAAAGTGCCAGACCAGGCCTGGGAGATGGAGAATACAGGGCTGTTGTTAGCGTTTGGACCTTTCCGAACACCGAGGTTTGCAGCTAGGGATCTGAGCCCTCTTTTTTTACGAAGTTGTTCGATGACTTGTGCACTTTATCATCTATGAAGATATACGAAGGGTTATTGTCTTGGCGATGACGTCTAAGTAGTGATGATGAGAAATTACACTTCTCTTGCGGCAGGCAGTCGCTTTTTATTCTCCACTTGTCTAGATATGCAGTCTAATGTCTCCCGAATGTGCAGCACAACAGGACTAACTGGAAATCTCGATCGCCAGGCCAGCGGATATGTCCCCACTGTCAACGTGCTAACGCTCTGGAGCCCCACGCTAAAGAAATTGATCTTCATCGAAACATTTAAAAACTCGTCCGCTTCTCCCCATGTTTGGCTGAGCTCTCTCCACCTGGCTTACACGTTAGCTGTGGGTGTTTTGCATTTTTCTGAGCAAGAATGCCACACTACGTGGTGATCACTTGGTGGACCTGCACCCACTAGAGCCTCCTGAGCCATTCGTCTCGAAGCTTTAGATAATATGAAGTATCAAATCTGACCTATTTGATTCCTCACTGTACTTCTTGAATCTCCCAATCACAGCCAGAGGTTGTCCAGGCATGTCTCCTCGCGTCCGAAAATACCTCCCACATACCAGCATACTGAGTACTCTGTAATCCTCCAAGTTCGGGAATCTACATACATAATAGTCCCTGGAAACAAACAAAAGCCCGGCATTGTTGGGGT